GTAACGAGTCAAGTAGTAAAAAAAATATGTTGACTTGGTACTTGGCTTGGACTTGCAGGTAATACAATATGTTGGCTAGTTACTCGGCTTGACCGAGACAAGTACTTGCTTTTTCAAGCCAAGTACGAGGCGAGTAACGAGTATTTATGTCCAGGCCTAACTGGCACAATCCTGTTATGGCTCTCTCTCTCTAGCGGCGATTTTTAGGGTTTTTGTACCGCAAATATCAATTTTTAAACACAAAAAATTGCTTGATTTTTGATCTAGAGAGTTTAGTAGACAATAAATCAGGAGCTAGAGTCTTTCATTAAGTTGGTATTGGCTTCGGTTTCAGTTAATTTGAGAAGAATCTACGAGGAAAAGAAGATCGAAGTAGCATCAGAATCCTCAGATCTGGATGAATCGTCCCAAGAAGAAGAAGGAGCTATCCTTAATGGACGAGCTGAAGGAACAAAATCTCATAGAGGATGGAGATCCGGTTGATATACCGGATCAAGGGACTCCCAATCCATCTCCTAAAAGAACAAGCGGTGAGGAGCTTAATGGCCCCATTAGGGAAAGTAGAAGGAGTGGAATTACATGCCAAAAACTCTACCTCTTTGGAATATATGAGAGCTTTGGTATTTGTCAAAGCTGATGAACCTCTACAATTCAGAAAGGTTGCTAGGATGTCCACAGGGGAAGTGTACACCACTGAGCTGACATAAGAGAAACTTCTCAAGGTATGCTTTACCTGTAAAAGACTCATGCATGGCCAAACGGTATGCCCTTTTCAATTGCAACCGGAAACCAAAGGTAGAAAGGAGAAAAGAGAGGGGAATAGTAAGGTAGGCTCACAAAGCAGAAGGAAGGGCAAGGATGTTGAGATTGAAGATGAGTCTGATGGACAGACATCAGTGCATCAAAGAATAGTCTACCTTCAGAACCAGCCAGCCTCTAGATATAGAAGTGTGAAAGAAAAACTCCAATGGAGCAAGAAAGCTGACTCTGGAGGGGAAACAAATTTACCGGAGAGTCAGTAACTACTCCCGACAGGAAGAGAAGGTTCAGCTCAAGTGATGATAGGAAAGGAAAAAGAGCCAAATATGAGGTAGAGAAGGAGACTCAAGTTTCCCCTTCTGTCTTTGAAAGCTTAGGCCCTCCCAAGACCAACTCGGGTTCCAAAAACAATTCCCCAATGAATCAAGCTTCAAAGAAATCGGGAGGCAATAACTCAGGAGAAACGAGCTCAAGCTCAAAAAGGAGCGGCTCAAGGTTTTCTGATAAACAGAATTCTGAGAGTAACTCACATTCTGCCAGTTTGGCAATTCAGTCTACTCACCAGGATGGTCATGGATC